AGGAAACCGCGTCCGATCGGTGATATTATAACAGATAACATTATCGATAACATACATGTGCTGATCGATTTTTCTTTTTATAGATCAGACTCCTCACCGATTATATTAAACGCGACTGGGATAAATTGAAACCTGATGAATTAAGGATCGTTATAAAGTATGCCGATCAAAGTAGACTTATAACGCGAATTTTGATATGTGAGTTTAATAATTACTATTAATCTCATGTTTTTTTTCCTGTCCTTTTTCTTTTTTTCTTTTTTCTTTTCTTTTTCTTTTTTCTTTTTTTTGAAAATTTCAAATCCTCACAATAAAAATGAAGAATTATTTCACGATATTATTTCAGATTCCTTTTATATACCGGTTCTAGTGATATTTATCTTTTCCGCTACACCGATCATATTAAAAGATATAATGCCAGCTAATAATAATTATACCTATGAATTAATCTATCCAATTGAGTTATTAATTATTGAAAAGGAAAAAAATCCTTACCTTATACTAATCATATCTAATATGATCATAATATTCATTGGGATTGTCTCTTTGGCGAATTATACTTTTTTTATAGTCTTCATTCAACACACCTGTGCGATATTTCGTGTAGTTGGGTAAGATTGTGCTATTAAAATATACAAACATATACACACACACACACATACAGATATATATATATATATATATATATATATATATATGTGTGTATTTCTTTTTTTCTTTTTACATTACGATTACATATCAATTATCACATATAATATTATTTGATCTTAGATATATATTAGAACACGTAATTAACGAAAAAGAAGAAGAGAATCTTATTCAATTGATCGATAACAAAGAAATTTATTACAGAATAATACGTGGTATTAATTATCATAAATTGGCGATAGAGTGAGTAATTTATTATAAATTAATAATAATATTTATTTCGACAAATACTTTGATAAAAACTTACTCGCAAGTTTCTTTTTTTAATTCTCTCTCTTTTTTTCTTCTTTCTCTCTCTCTCTCTCTCTCTCTCTCTCTCTCTCTCTTTTCTTATACTCATGTCTTTTTTCAATGAAAGATACACCGGAAGAATAAATTCCTTCGCCGAGATCTGTTACCTCGTTCAAATTCTAATGACTCTTCTCATCCTTGCCGCTGATATAATGAGAGTGAGTAATCTCTAATCATGAAGACATTGATTATATGCGGAAATAATTTCTATCTCTCTCTCTCTCTCTCTCTCTCTCTTTCTCTCTCTTAATAATTAGAATAAAATAATAAAAATTTCGTGGTATACTTCTTTAGCTGATGCAAGCGAGCAATAACATAAAATCATTAACAATGGCAGCTATTTGTACTCTACATATATCGGGTATGATAATTTGGACATTATTCAATTGCATAATCGGACAAAGAGTATTGAATCATAGTCACATCGTTTTTAAAAAAACGTGAGTATTATTTGGACTAATGTAAAAGGATAAAAATTATTTCTTTAGATTTATTGTAAACCTGATAGAAAATATCGAATAATAAATGTAGATGCACGATACCATGGTATTTATTTTCACTGAGATTGCAAAAATTGGCAACTTTAATGTTAATGAGAAGCATGAGACCGTCTTATCTGTCGATCGGCAAAATGTTCATTTCCTCTCACACATTTTTCTCATCGGTAAGATATATATATATATTTTATTTCTTTCGATATTATATATACATATATATATATATATATATATATATATATATATATATATATGTATATACACATATTTATGTATCTACATAATTATTTATGTTTTTATCTAAAGTTGATACAGTCGTCCATATCTTACGGTATGTTACTTCGATCAATTTCATAAGAAATATAACGAACGTATCCAACGAAGAACGAAACGGCAAATTTTTTTTTCTCTCGTCAATGATGTTACCATAGAAATGTATTCCTTAAGATCTTTTTCTCACTTGAATAAATCTAACATTTTTGAAGGCACGATAATATTCGCATATCGTACGATAATAATCGTATATATTATGCATATATAAATATATATATATATATGTATATATTATATTATAAATAATATATAAATACTGAAGATAAAATAAATAAGGTAAAGTAAAATAAAATAATAAAGATAAATGAATATAATAAGGTAAGTAAATATATCGAAGTAGGACTGCACGAATGTTTTATATTATCGGACACCGGGTATGTTGGATGTTGCATTTTCTTTCGTCAAAGTAATAATCGTTTGTTTCAACATGCATTGACACACTCTGCACGTTCTACATGCTACTTTTGTCGCGTGTAGCACGCGGAAAAGAAATCTATGCTCTGCAATACGATACAATGTTTATTATCGATGAAACGCACGCAACGTATATGAAGAAAAAAAAAAAAAGAAAAAGAAAAAAAAAAAAAAGAAAAAAATATATTACACGTAAAATAAAATGTAAAGTAAAAAAAAAAAAAAAAAAAAAAAAAAAGAAGGAAAAAAAAAGAACGCTGCTTGCAATCTACGTGGCGTATTTTTATTTATAAAAAATATATTTTATTAATCGATGACGACTCTTGAAAAATAAACGTCCATTTATCCCGTTAATTGATATATCATATTATAATTAATGATCGTATTGACGATATTTCAAATTATCAAATTAATTCAATGGCCGTATACATACAAAATTCTCACCTTTTTACGTCCGTATATAAATTTCCAATATAGAGAAATATTTATTGAATAATTGAGATCGAAATCGAAAAGACTTTAAATCGAAATAAATAATCTGTCTCGATGAGTAGCGAAAGTAACCGATATCAAATATTATACTTCGAAATTTCTATGGGTTAACATATAAACGAGAAGTACTATGATATATTTAAAAACGAGAAATAAAAGACGAATAAAAAAGTCGTACGGATTTTTTTCTTTCTCTTTTTTTTTTTTTTTTTTTTCAAAATTTTCCTAACCAATAACTCAAATGACAATTAATATCGTAATATATCTATCGAATAATAAATGCATATATTGTATATCGAATTATACAATTTATAAATATTTTTTGATATCTCAATTTGAATTTAGATATTATTCGATCGAGTTATCATTAATCTATGTGAAGCCGATATATCGATTTGATATCGGCCCCTTATCACTTATTATAATATCTTTATGTATTTATGTATATACAATATTTATTTTTTACGTTCATTTATCAGCAATGTTAATAAGTACGTGCCGAGCGCGTCCAGACGTTGGCAATGCGTGATAAGGATTCCACGATAAGCAAAACTTGGCATCCATTAGTCCACCAACCCATCTATCCATCCATCCATCCATCCATCCATCCATCCATCCATCCATCCATCCATCCGTCCGTCCATCTGTCCGTCCATCCATCCATTCGATTGCGTACCGATTACGTCACTCGAAATTCCGCTTAGTCAACTTACTACTCAAGCATATTCGCATTCGATTCGGAATATCCGGACATAACGTGTGTTTTTGTTTTTGTTTGCCACCCGAAGAGAATTTCTCTTCGAAACTACGTACATACATACTTAGATATGTATGTATGTATGTATGTATGTATGTATATAATATATATATATGCACGTATGTATGCATATATGCATGCATGTCGATGGCGTCGACGTCGAATTCGAAAATGCGAATAATCCAAATGCAATGAACGGAATAACGTTAAATAAATACGTATCCGCGGGATGCATTCGTTGCGTTCAATGCATTCAATAAGTGAATCGTCCGATTAACGAAATCGCGAGAGGGGGAGGGAGGAGGAAAAAAAAAAAAGACAAAAAAGAAGGAAGAGAGAAACGAGTAAAAAAAAAAAAAAAAAAAAAACAACAAAAAAGAAAAAGAAAAAACAAGTTATTAAGTGAGAAATAAAATTTGTCAATCGTCCTCTTCGAATAATAATATCAAAATTCAATTGCACACAGCTCGATCAACAATTTCTCTATCCAGCCACAACCGATGAGATTTTCAAGTAGAATGATAGTTGAACGAAGAGAGAAAGAAAGAGTAAAAGAGAAAGAGAGAGAGAGAGAGAGAGAAAGTGAACGACTTCATGAAAGTGTATATGTGTGTATGTGTATGAGTGTGTAAGAAAGTAAGTAGAAGGGGAAGAACAGGGAATGCCTAGGGTTGTACCTTAATTATACGTAAAGAGCTTATACGTTGTAATCGATCGATCCGTCCCTCTCGCACATGTTAATATTCTCGGCTTCCATTCTCGTCGACCCTCTTCTAATATAACGTAGAAATATAGAAAATTATACCGTCCAACGTCTACGTGAGTTTCTAACTGATGCTTAATTTACACTTCTTTTTTCTTTTTTCTTGTTTTTTTCTTTTTTTCTTTTTTTTTTTTTTTTTCTTTGCCTCGCGTGTTCGCTAGTCAAAATGAATCAAATGGATTATTCAAAACTCGAATTGCGAAGGAAATAAAGCAATGAGAAAAAAGGAGAAAAAAGAAAAAGAATATGTACGTGTATATATATATATATATATATATATATATATATATATATATATATATATAGTATATCCATGCATGAGTACGACGGATCGCAAAAAAAAAAAAGAAAAGAAAAAGAGGAAAGAAGAAGAAGAAAAAAAAAAAGAAGAAGGGTCAATAAAGAAGGGTACAACGAAGTCCTTGAAGAGCTTGGTCAGATGTGCAACGAACCTTGAGAGAACATGAGCTATCCAATGAAACATTATTACGATATTAATCGTTTCTTTTTGTCGATCATTGGCATGTGGCCATATCAAAGTGAAAAAACAAAATTAATTAGAACGATTTATACACAGATAGCTATATTACTATGTATCGTCGTACCGGTAAATCCATTTCATTATTTCTCTATTATCTTTTATAAATCGTGCTTCGAATATTGTTTTATCTTTTTTCCTTTTCCTTTTTTTCTTTTTTTTTTTTTTTTTTATTTCTTTTTGTTTTGTTCTTTTTTTCTTTTCTTTTTGACAACAATTATCTCTCATAATTAGTCCATTCAGATTATAAAACTCGATCGGGCGTACTTCGACATAGAATTTCTTCTAAAAGCCATGTCCTTCGCCTTATTTTATTTATGCGTAGTGTCGCATTATTACGTCGATTTAATCGAAATAAAAATGGTAAGTAAAGAAATTAATTTATCCCAATGTCATTTCATTTATCTTATTTATCTTAAAATAAATATTATTTAAGTTTTCATTATCGTCGTATTAAATTTATCGATAGATAAATGTGATATGGAATCGTATCGAGTACGATTGGAACGAGATTATTACTACAAGGGGTATCAATATTTTGAAGGAATACGCATCCACTAGCAGATCGTATAATATTATTATTATAGGTGAATATATTGAGATTTTTCGCTTCATTTTTTTTTTTTTTATTTATTTACTTTTCTTCTTTTTCGTTTTTTCTTTTTTTTTTTTTTTTTTTTTTTTTTTTAACGAACGAACGCGCGCCATTATTTTCATCATCTTCTTCTCCTTCTTCTTCTTTTTTATTCTCTCTCTCTCTTTTTTTTTTTTTCCTTTCATCATCATTCACTATCACGCTTTATCTCTTATCTTTTAGGTTTATATTACGTTTCCATAATATTTCTTACAATTCAAACAATTTTACCAACGTTATTGGACGTAGTTTTACCATTAAACGAAAGCCGTCCATTGAAGTCGCCGATCCTAATGGATTCGCTTATCGAAGAAACAATATATTTTTATCCAATGTTAGTAAGCACATACATTTTGTTAATATTCTTCGGAATCGTTACAACAGCCATTAATGGATTCTTCGTGGTCTGCGTTCAACATGCTTGCGCTATGTTCCATTTGGTCCGGTAAAATCAAATGAAATGAAAGAAGATATGATATAAAAAAAAAAAAGAATAATAATAAATCAATTAATCAATAAATAAAAAGATATAATAATAATAATGACGACGATGATGATGATGATGATGATGATGATGATGTTGGTGCAAATCAAAAAAGCTAGAATCGTAATAACATTTTTTCAGATATACGTTGGACGAAGCCTTTGAGAACGTAAATCAAAAATTATACGTAAACGAGGAGAATGAAAGAATTTATCAAAAAATAATTCGCTCTATAAAAGTGCACAAAAGTGCTATAGAGTTGGTATAATATATGTTATATTATATAATATCTATAGTCTAATGGATTAAATATAATCGATTATTATATATTTTTTACGATACTCTTTGGAACGTTTTCTGTTCTTTTTTTTCTTTTTTTTTTTTTCATTTTCTTTCTTTCTTTTTTTTCTTTTCTTTTTCTTCTTCTCCTTTTCTTTCTCTTCGCAGATCGTAAGAGATTTTCTTAGACTTGTAATTTTGTAATCTGACGAAAAAATAAAAAGAAAAGAAAAAAAGAAAAAAAAAAAGGGGGGGGGGAAAGGAATAGTTTAAAATGTCTGGAAAAAAAGTGTAATCGATTTTTAAAAATCGCTTAAGAACTTTCGAACAGTTTAAAACAAATTTCATTGATTTAATCTCTACATTAATACATTGACGATTAACATTGTTCCATCATAACGATATTATTTTATCGTAACAGATTCGTCGAGAACATGAACATCATTTATGAAAAAGTATCTTTTCTATCCTTTTTAATTGGTTTTTTTATCATAGCAGTCGACATTTTACGAGTGAGTTTCTCTCTCTCTCTCTCTCTCTCTCTCTCTCTTTCTTTATCTCTCTTTCATTATATACTTTTCATTCCCTATACCTTTTAGTTACTCAGAATAGAATCTATCGAGGAAAATTTGGAAGACACTTTAATGTGCATCTTTCATCTATTCGGATCATTTTGTTGGGGATTGATGTGCAATATGCTTTGTCAAAGTATAATCGATCATAGCTCGGCCACTTTCGAACAAGCGTAAGTATAATAATACATACATACGAACGATCAATCTCTCTTTACATCAATCGTAAAATAAAAAATATATTATTGATCAATCATTTTTTAGTTACTTAATTCCTTGGTATCTGATTCGTCCAAAAACACGACGATTATTATTGCTATTGATGATGAACTCATTAAAACCATGTTACATATCTGTAGGAAACATATTTGTATCTTGTAATGAATTTTTCGTTACGGTAAATATATCAAAGAACGAGAACAAAATTGAAATTATGGAGAAACAGAAAAACTTTTCATTATTAAATAATTAATTATTTTTCTTTTAAAGTTTCTACAAACACTAATGTCATACACGATGATAATATATTCACTGCAGTAATATTAATGTTTTTATGAAGAATGTATGAAGAAAATATAATGGAGATATAGATGCACGGAGGGAAAGGCAAACAAAGAGGAAAAAAAAAAAAGAAAGAAAGAAGGAAAGAAAGAAAGATAAACAAATGTTAATTAACAATAAATAAACGCACAAAACAGTAAAGCATGCATAAGACATAAATTTATAAAAATCTATATGATGTATCCGTAAACGAAAAGCTCGATTAAATAATTTATTTGTTTGATGGTAATAAATTAGTACTTAATATAAATATTTATTTTTTTGCTTTTATCTTTGAAATGGACTATTACCTATCACACACACACACACACACATATGTATATATATATCAGAAAAAATAATGAAAAATTTTGTTGTTTTGCGACAAAGAGAGAAAAAGAAATTTTTATTTTTTTCCTTTTCTTTTTTTGTTTTTTTTTTTTTTTTTTTTCTACAACGATGACGACAAAATGTGATAAGAAATACGAGGCCTAAGAAGAATGAAGAAAATGAATTGCAAATTTTTCCTTCGATAATACTTTTATATATTAAATAAGTAAAAATAAAACGATAAAGATAAAACTTATATATTTAATCGCATGTTTAAGTAATGTAAGTAATGTAAAGGATATAATTTTTGTATCGATCGATATATATCGCTTTGCAATCGTTTCAACTTAAAGCCGAACTATTATAAGAAACTGATAGAATATTATTAAAATCAAACCGATATAAGGGTAACTTTTTTCCCTTTGGTCAACGAACAAAGACCTTTATTTTTATTTAATTTTACGTAAAATTAATATAAAAATGGGATAAGTTTCCAAACGATTTAACAATTTTTTACAATCAATATATCTTACAAACTCTTAGCTTATTTCGCGATCTGAAGGAAAGGTTGACAAAAAGAAAAAAAAGAAAAAAAAAAGAAATTGATCTAAAAAATCTCGAAAAGAAACAATCGATTTTTTAATAATAATATCTCAATACTTTTGATTCACCCTATGTATTAATCATTCGCCCAATGACGAACGAGAAATCTCGTCGCGTTTATGTAAATAATTTTTTCATGTAATATATAAATAATTTGTTCTCGTCGACATTTATCTTCTTCGTAATTCATTTTAATAAGAAGTTTCAATTTTCTATAAAAATGTATTTTTTTTTTTTCTTTTTTTTTTTATAGAAGATAAAAAAAACTTTCATTAAGAAAGAAAAAGAAAAGGAAAAAGAAAGAATGGTTATGAAAATCGAAGAAACGTCGATTAAAAAGGGACGAACGTTTTCTTTGCAAATCGATATTTTCATTTGAAAATCGATCATTCAATCGAACGTAATCGGTAATCAAGAGAAAAAGAAAATAAATAAAAGATAATAAAAAAAAAGAAGAAGAAAAAAAAGGAATATCTAAATATATTGCAATATCTTTAAAAACGTGAGTCGATCATATATATATATATATATATATATATATATATATGTCTATAATTATGAAAATGATCGAAGTCAATTAAAACTTTAAAAACAATCTTTTTATATGTGATTCAAAAGAAACTTTCACATTCATAAAGGAATTTTCATTAATCAAAATTAAATATAATAAAATTCTAAATTAAAATGTCACATAATAATATAAGAATTTTTTTTATTATTTATTCAAATAATAATCCATTAAATATCTCGAAAGAACAAAATGTATGACTTAGTCCAGTGATCATTTTCATAATTATGACCGCATATATTTCTTTTGGATAGCAAAATTGTTCATTGCTCGGTGTATAATCTAAATCTGTCTGACCTACTTGTTATCATTCGTATTCGTCTTAACGATGACGGTTACTGCATATAATTCAAGGGAAAGAAAGAAAAAAAGAAAAAAAGAAAAAGAAGAAAAAAAGAAAAGATACACACGTATATATATATATATATATATATATATATATATATATATATATATACATATATATTTATGTATATGTCTATGTATATGTATGTATGTATGTATGTGTCGATCTATCCTGGACGTTTACGATAGCTGAATATAACACGAATGCGTTCGATGTTCTCAGAGATATAAGAACTCCTTGAACATATCGATTTTGATCGAGGAACGTTAAAGTCGAGAGAAAAATTGCTATCGATCGTGAAATACATCGAAGACGTGAGGAACGATATGGGATTATTAGGTGGAAAGGAGGAAGAAGAAAAAAGAAAAAAAAAAGAAAAAAAGAAAGGAGAAAAGAAAAAAAAACGAAAAAAATAAAAAAATAAAAAGAAAAAAAGAAAAAAGACATAATAAAAGGAATGACGTACGTGTACATAGATACATACATAAGGTATGCGTTAAAATACAAATATTTCAACAATTGTTGGATATCGTTAATAATTGTTCGAAATATATAATATAAAAGTTTGATTTTAATATTTGACTGATTGATTTTTAAATATTTATTAGTCTCATTTGATTTCGTTAATTCTTTCATTTTTTTTTTTTTTTTTTTTTTTTTTTTTTTTTCTTATCTTTCGTTGATATTTTCTTCGATCTCATGCAAGTATTTGCTTATCTGTCTCGGTATATGATACTTAGGTGTCATCATATCATTTCAATTCTTATTTTTCTTTTTTTCGATCGTACACACGTCTCTAAATCCTAAATAGGGCCGAAAGTTTTTAGGTACTTTTTAAAAAAAATCAATCGTTTCTTTTCGATCGCTATGTTAATTTAATTCTCCCTCTCTCTCTCTCTCTCTCTCTCTCTCTCTCTCTCTCTCTCTCTCTCTCTCTCTCTCTCTCTCTCTCTCTCTGTCTCTGTCTTTCTATGTCTCTGTCTCCGTTCTTTCAAATCGCAAAAAAAAATCTACGAGCTTGCAAAGACTTGGTAAAGTTGATTTTCTTATTTAATAATGTACAACGACGAGATGTATTTTCATGTAATATTCATTTATCGATAGATATTCATAATGAATTTTATGATTCTAGTTTTTGGAGTCATTGGCGATCGTCAATTATATATTCCAGATCGTATTCGATTCAATACATATCTCTGGGGGTATGTTTCGTACCATTGGATTAAGCGCCAATATATATATATATATCTATATATACATATATTTTTCTCTCTCTCTCTCTCTCTTTTTTCTTTTTTCTTTCCCCTTTTTGTTTTTTTTATTTTAATTTTATTTAACGATATATTCAATCGACGTCAAATACAGGAGTTTCACGTTGGACTTTGAATTCTTTTTTTTTCTTTTTTCTTTTTTCTTTTTTTTTTTTTTTAATTTCGTTTTTTTTTTCTTTTTTTCCTTTTTCAAAGCGCCTACCAACTCGATCTGAAATTAATTATTTTCATTGAATAAGAGAGCAAATAGGTACATATTTATTTTATTTGCATTGTTGTTTATTTTCAAAAAGGAAAAAAAAAGAGGAAAAATGAGAGAGAGAGAGAGAGAGAGAGAGAGAGAGAGAGAAAGAGAGGGAGATGTTAAATCATTATTATGATATTTTCTTTCTTTCCTTTTTCATTCGGCTATTTACAGGTACATACTATCCAGAGAGGGGGAGAGAGAGATATATATTCGCTACATAGAAGAGGAAAATATCGAAGCATCCATGGAATTATTCGAACGTTTGCTTCACTCATGACTCCTACAAAGCATCGTGTATCACAAAAGAACTATGGGGTTAGTGATAAATCACGTTTTCATGCGGACCAATAAATAACGGCAACGCGCATTGCTTTTACCTCGATGATAAAACGTCGTCCTAAGAATGAAGAAACGAATTGCATCAAACAAGACTGATAGCGTTCGTTTCTGTATATATATATATATATATATATATATATATATATATATATATATATATATGTATATATTTAGCGATATAAAAAGACAGAGATTTATATTTATTTAAACATATATAAAAATTATTGTCAATTATTTACTATTCTCATTTTCGTCTTTACATTTCGACGAAATCAAAACAAGATACGTTGAACTAAACAAATTATTATATATGTTTAGTCGAAACAAATTATAAACAAACAAATTAATTAATCATATATATATATATATATATATATATATATATATACATATATATATATATACATATATATAAATAATTTTCTTAAAAACTTGATCCTACATAAATATTTTTATTTTATTTAAATCTCACATAGACGTCAATGTCCTATACCATAGATATTTTATTTCTTCAAAAAATGAAGAACCATTCCTCGTGAAAAATAAAAGTGATCCATGTGGAACAACGTGACGAGTTTATGAAGTACGAGATATAATAGATAGATATACATACGATATTATTTCTTTGTGTAGATATATCTATTACGAGTGTGCGTGAATTAAGTCAATATATAAAAAAAAAAAAAAAAAAAAAAAAAAAAAAAAAAAGAAAAAAGAGAAAAGAAAGGAAAATAAAGCAACAAATAATCTATACCCTCAGCATAAATTTTTCTAGGTAAATATTAAAAATTATATCGAACATTATTACATTTATCGTTTTCTTCTATTTCTTCTTCTTCTACTTCTTCTTCTTTTTCTTCTTTTATTTTCTTTCATTTTCTTCCTCCCTTATCTCTTTCCTTCCATTTCATATACAATACTTTAGTTTACACGATTCTCAACTGACTTAGTACTCCGTGGATCCTAGTTAAGGAACAACTAGAAATAGTAGAGTGAAGTAGAAGAAAGTAGAGTAGAAAGTACACTTAGAACGATATTAGAAAGAATGAAAATCCGTATGCTCGAGTTTACGAGGGAATCCTCGTTACTACTCGCTTATCTACGTACGCACATACATACAAATATACATACGTACATATAAGAAGAAGGGATAGATAGAAAATGATATAATTGTAATAATTATAAGAAATAATTAAATTATAACGAAAGATCGATATCGATCATATATACACAAACACACACACACAGATCTGTTGACCATCCCGCAATGTTTCCTTTCACATCCATGACTTTTTTTATTCCCATGAATTTTAATCTTGAAACTTATTGAAAAATGTTTTTTGATAGGCTATACAAATTCTCCTGTCTTTGTTTTTATTTTTTGATTTTTTGTTTTTTTTTTCCTCATTGTCTTTTTCTATATCTTTCTTCCTGACCCCTTCCCACTGCATTAAACATCCCCCATCCCTTTCAACAACGCGTCTATTATATATTATGGATTATCAATTGTCGCGATTGAAATTTCTAAGCGAATTCGAGGGAAGAGAAAAAAAGAAAAAAAAAAGGAAATTAAAGATAAGAAGAAATAAAATCTAACCCTTAAATATATTTATCGATAAGATGTTGCAAACTGCCGTGTCCTATGCCATGATAATGAAACTCTATACGATAGAAAGAAGAAAAAAAGAAAAGAAAAAAAGAAAAAAAAAAATAATAATAATAATAATAATAATAAATTTGCGCTCATCAATCAAAAGAGACAAGTGAGAATAGAAATGAGACAGAGGAAAGAAAATAATAAAAAAAAAAAAAAGAAAAAGAAAAGAAAAAAAAAAGAAAGACCAAAAAAAAAAATATCGAACGAGTAAAACATACATACGTTACTTACATATGTATGTATGTATATATATATGTACGTATGAGTACATGAACAAAATGTTGGATGATAGGAATACGATGATTCTCGATTAAATGTTACACAAAGTGATACCATTGTTTCCAGGAAAGCCACTATCCGTTTTTGCGATGAATAACCCCTTAAGAGAAGATTAAAGAGCACGATAGAATAGAATTGCTAGTATTTTTCTGCCACCGACTTGTTATTTTCTCATCTTCCTTTATCTCTTTTTCTCTCTCTCTCTCTCTCTTTCTCTCTCTCTCTCTCTCTCTCTATCTATCTCTTCTAAGATAGATATTGTAACTGACAAATCGTTAAACTTCGACGAGGGAAAAAACATTAAATGTTTATTTCCTATTAAAAAAAAAAACAATTCGAATCGCAGCGCAAAACGACAAAAAAAACAAGAAAATTAGTAATAATAATAATAATAATAATAATAATAATAATAATAATAATAATAATAATAATAATAATAATAAAAAAGAAACAAGGAATAAAAAAAAGGGAACGACCGAACGAAATACGTAAAACAAAATAAGGGTAGGATCTGGCATGTACTGCATTGCAAGTCCCGTAATGCAGCAACACACAGCTGCAGTGGAACGATCTATAAAGGTAAAAGAGGGTTACGATGGAGTAACGTGGGGAGGATAAAAGAGGGTGGTGTAAGGGGAATGAGGTAAAGAAACAGATCGAGACTCGACTCGTCTCGAGGGATATCAGGGGGATACCAGAACGAATCGTCGATACTACACAAGGAGATGCGTCTGCTTTCTCCTAACCGTAAAGTCGACAGAACGGAGATACCTGAATAGAATAGAGAAAATAGAAATATATATACATACATATATATACATATATATATATATATATATATATATATATATATATATAAAGTTGAGGAAAAGCCAAATACGTGTTCTATCCAATTGTCGTACTAAAACGACATGACAGACTCGTCGGACACGAACCAAATTAAGCACCGTACGATTTTACATGCTCTGGACCAAAATTCGTCATGATATTAATTCCGTTTATAACGCGTCGACATTATTCAACTTGGTAGTGTGGAAGAGGGGGAATGAATTTCGATATAGATCATAAGGAATATTTAAAATTATTCCCACTGTAATTAAGCCTTTGAGAAATGTTAAATCATTTTGCATGCGGCCCACCCCCTCCACAACCTACGGACCCCACATGTCCACGTCCATGCACGTTCACGTGCAATGCGCACAGGCACATGCACGATTATCTTTGCCCTTCTTTTTTCTTCTTCTTTTTGTCTAAAGATAAAACGTTTTCGTACGTATGTTTTCTTTTTTCTCACAATCTCTTTTTCGTATCTTTTTCTTTTTTCCTTTCGCAAGAAGATCCACACATACACGTGTCCTGATTATTTTAAGGAAAAAAAAAAACTTTCTTTTCTATCGATGAAAAATCAATCAAATCAATGGATGATATTAAGTGATCGTTATATAGACGATAAAATTATGACGAGGAACATAAAATTGTTTCTCAGATATGAAAAGCTATCGTGCACGTTAATATCGTAACTGCTCAATCTCAGAACGTTTATTTAAACATTGATGCGTTCTGCAATGTTTCTGCATTACATTTACATAGTACGATCATGCACGTTATACGAAAGAGAGAGAGAGAGAGAGAGAGAGAGAGAAAGAGAGAGAGAGAATTTCATTTCATATCCCAATCTCGATTCAAAAGCTTACAGAGCAACGATTGACATTGTTCTCAACGCGTAATTGTTCGATTTTATGTTAATCCGTAGAAACAATAATGAACGATATAGCTGTGAACTCATAGCCGAGTGAAGATTTCTAGTGAGCTTTGTGGAAACGCTCGATTTCCAAAACAATAACCTCTGTCTCTCTTGCGCAACTTCTATATACGAACATACACATATATAGGACACATATACGTACGCGCACCCACGCCCTCCCACACACACATATATATATATATATATATATATATATGTATAGGGGTTACAAAGAGAGAGAGAGAGAGAAAGGGGCCCAAATTCGTACGTATTACACAATAATGGAATAGACATTAATTAACAAAGCGTTGAAGCCTGGATTGAAGATAAATCCAAGTAAATACGCGATTCATAAAGGGAATATTATCTTATTTACAATGTTACCTAAGATGGAAGGCAAATGAATATTCATAATGAAAAAAGGAAACTTGAGATAAATAAATTTCTTACATAACGTGAAAATAACTATTACATCCTCTTTATTAACTATTCGAAATATTTCAAATATTTCATACGTATAATTATCATATACAGTAGATATATTTTCTAGTAGTCGATTTGTATCTCGATTGTGTACGTTCTTTACGTGTACGAAAAAAAGTAAAGTTTTTGATTAGTATATATATACGTACATATACGTACATATATACGTAAACAAGTCATTCTGAATTTTTCGTTTTCGAACAGTAACTCGATCAAATATTTTCTTTTTCTTTTCTTTTCTTTTTTTTTTTGCCTTCACAATCTTTCAAGAAAATATTATTTTCAACCTTACCTTCGCTCTTTCTTGTACCACGTTGCGTGAATCCCATTAGAAAGCTTTCTGTCTCGTACGGGGTTGTAAAGTACTCGGACTCACCTGAAATAAGAGAAAAAAAAAAAAAAGAACAAAGATTACATTGAATACACCTTCAAGGATTAAATGTCAAATTGTTTCTATTCCTTTTTTTTTTCCTTTTCCATTTTTTATACCTTTTCTATATTTTTCAATGCCAACAATAAGATCGATTATACATACATACATACATACATACATACATACATATATATATATAACATTTCTTTTTATATATATATATATGTATATTGTAGTTGTAAATCAAGTAACCGGAAATCTACGGTTTTCTAAATGAGATTCGAGTCATCGAGGCAGCGATCTCTCTCTCTCTCCTTTTTGTTCTTTCTTTCTTTCTTTCTTTCTTTCTTTTTTTCTTTCTTCCTTCAATCCTTTCTTTTTCTCAACGCACGAAGAGAACACGTTGACGAGGCTCTTGACGCTTTTTAATGCCTTGGCATATTATTTCTAAAAGCATGCACGAAACGGTGCTTTTCCCGTCGCACTTTTACGCTTCGTCTCGTTTTGCGTTTAGAGAAGGACGAAATGAAAGAGAGAAAGAGAGAGAGAGAGAGAGAGAGAGACAGAGAAAGAAAGAGTAAGAGAGACATAAATAAAACGAAAAGTACAAAAGATGATGAAGTAGAGGATGAAGAATAATAAGAAGAAGAAGAAGAAAAAGGAAACGAATAGGGATCAAATAGAAGAAAGGAGCTAATTACGTTGACCTCGAGAACGACGCGCATCTCCTCCTTCCACCTTCTCCAACTCCTTCACGATTTGTTCGCGAATGTCAGTCGCGAATGTCAGTCGAGTCTTACGCGGGTCAAGGCTGACGCCGGAATTGATTTCTATAAATAAATCGCTTGTTATAGGGTTTATTTCCGCGCTCGATAGTATTTAATGCGATATCGAGTACAAGGACGTCCCGGTCGAAGAAACGACGTAAAGGTACGATCGACTTTTAAAGATCTTCCCTTTCGCATAAAAATTTACGATGGAAAAAGAGAGGAGAAGAGTACGTATAATAAGATATATATATATATATATATATATATATATATATATATATATATATATAGAGAGAGAGAGAGAGAGAGAGAGAAAAGAAAGAAGAAAAAGAATGGAAAATTTTTGAAAAAAATTGAAAATTGAATTGAAAATTCGAATGGACATTTTTTGGAAATGGAACGCTTGCTTGTTCCTTTTTTTCTTTTTCTTTTTTTGTTTTTGTTTTTTTTTTTCTTTTTTTTTTTTTTCCTAGTAGTAGTTTATTTTTCTTTCCTTTCTTTTTCTCTCTTCGTCACGACAAAAACCTGCGTAAGGTACGTAACATTTGCGTGCAATTATGATTTCTGTAAGAGAGAGAAAGTCATAGAGAATTACAGAGGTAAAGAGAGAGACAGAGAGAGAAAGAGAGAGAGAGAGAGAGAGAGAGAGAAAGAGAGAGAGAAAGAGAGAGAGGAACAGAGCGAGTTTACAACGCGACCTGGATACACACAAGAGCCTAAAAGACAAAAGGCACAGAGTCTCGAAAATTCGTCCTGATTAAAATTCTTCCTTCCTACTACCGTTGACCTGGATATTCTCAACG